TGGAGAAGGGTCCAGACCTGAAACGTCAGCCTTCCTGCTCCTCTGATGCTGCTTGGCCTGCTGTGTTCATCCAGCTCTACACCTTGTTATCTCAGATTCTCCAGCATCAGCAGTTCCTACTAACTCTGGACTATAACTTGCTGTTGTGTGACTTCTGGCCATCTGGGGATGGAGATAATTGTGTAAGTGTGACCTCTGGTGGGCATGCCGATAATCACAGCTGAAGGAAACATTCACACTGAGTGCCCTCTCCATCAGTCAGTATTGGCTACTGACTTTACCAACAAATGTACAAATTGAGGGATCTACATTTCAGCCTCTGCTCAAAGCTCCTTAACAGCTACTCTGATTACTGCCTGTTGTGAGGATTCTGTCCCTCTAGTTTGTCACAACCTTCCATTAATGCCTCTGATATGCCTTTCTTTTTCCCGAACCTAGGAGACCCTCACCCTCCATAGGCGACAATGTACCCCACGTGTGCATCTATTTTACGGTTTCAGCTCCCACCCTTTCCCTTCCCTCTTACATCCACAATAGGGTTACCCTTGTCCTGATTTTCCATCCCATTAGCTTCCATATTTAAGAGATCATCCTCAGGTCCATTTCCAACATGATACAACCACCATCACAAATCTTTTTCTTGCTCTCCCCTTTTATTATTCCAAAGGGACCATCCCCTTTGTGACAGCGCGGTCCACTGCTCAGTCACCTGTAATACCCCCAAGCTCTACCCACAGCACCCTTCTATGGAAGCACAGTTAGCCTAACATCGGTCGTTGGTAAGATTTTAAAGTCCATAATGAAGGATGAGATTACAGAGTACTCGGAAGTGCATGGTAAAATAGGTTTGAGTCAGCACCTCTTCATCACAGAGGGATTATGCCTGACAAATCTGTTAGAATTCTTTGGGGAGATAACGAACAAGATAGACAAAGGAGAGCCAGTGGACGTGATCTATTTGGATTTCCAAAAGGCTTTTGGTGGACGTGATCTATTTGGATTTCCAGAAGGCCTTTGACAAGGTGCCACACAAAATAACACAAGGACCCATGGTGTTGGGGCCAAGGTACTGGCATGGATAAAGAATTAGCTGGCAGAAAGCAGAGAGTAGGGATAATGGAGTCTTTTTCAGTATGACAACTGGTGACTGGTGGAGTTCTACAAGGGTCTGTGTTGAGACCACAACTATTCATGTTATGCATTAATGATCTGGACAAAGGAACTGAGGGCATTGTTGCTAAATTTGCAGATGACATAAAGATAGGTGAAATTGCAGGTAATGTTGAGGAAGTGGGGAGGCCGCTGAAGGACTTTGACAGGCTAAGAGAGTGGGCAAAGAAGTGGCAGATGGGATACAATGTGGGAAAGTGTGAATTTATGCGCTTTAGTTGGAAGAAGAGGTGAAGACTTTTTAAATAGGAGCTTTGGTAAGCACAAAGGAACTTAGGAATCTTAGTTCAGGATTCTCTTAAGGTTAACATGCAGGTTCAGTTGGAAAGCAAATGAAATGTTAGCATTCATTTCGAGAGCCTAGAATATTGGATCAGGGATGTACTGCTGAGGTTGTGTAAGGCTCTGGTCAGACTACATTTGGAATATTGTAAGCAGTTTTGGGCCCCATATCTAAGGAAGGATATGCTAGCCTTGAAGGGGGTCCAGAGGAGGTTTACAAGAATTATCCTTAAAATAAAGGGCTTGTCATATGAGGAGTGGTTAAGGACTCTGGGTGTCTACTCAATGGAGTTTAGAAGAATGGGGACAGGCCTGAAGATAGTGAACATGGAAAAGATGTTTCCACTAGTAGGAGAGACTAGGACCCGAGGGCTCAGCCTCAGAGTGGAGCAATGACCCTTTAGAACTGAGATGAGGAGGAATTTCATTAGCCAGCGGGTGGGTAATCTATGGAAATCATGGCTGCAGAAGTCTATGGAGGCCAAGTATTTAAGACAGCAATAGATAGGTTCTTGATTAGTAAGGGGATCAAGGGTTATAGGGAGCAGGCAGGAGAATGGGGTTGAGAAACATTTCAGTCATGATGAAATGGTGGAGCACTCAGTGGGCTGAATGGCCTAAATATGCCCCTTTATCTTATGATCTATGGTCTTGTTTAGCATCTAAAATTAATATTCTACTAATCTGCTTCCTGAAGGTGGATGTTCTGTTTTGCAGGTTTTACTTGCTGCTCGTGCAAAGAGGGGTCCAGCACAATTCATTTGGATGAGTACTTCAGATATCATAACGTTCAAGGATATGGGACAACTGCAGGAAATTGGGATGAGTGTACTTTTGGTGGTAGCCATGTCGGTGCAGACTCGATGGGCCTAAGGGCCTTTTGCTGCGCTGTATAATTCTAATGAATTCAGGGTGACGGCGCTGCAGAGCTGAACTTCAGTACTCAGTGTATTTGTCAGCGGTTGCACATTTCTCCCTGTAGAGGAGCTTGTGAGTCAGGCACTTCTGCTGGGAAGCTCATCTTGTTTGCTTTGTGCTGCTGTGTACGCGTCGTGTAGTTCAGGGTAAGTGAAAAGGTCAATGAGAGAGAGAAAGAAAAATGTGTGTGTTACAGCTTGTAACAAGTAAGGTTGCTGTGTGCAGAGTTACTCGTTATTATGTTTAACCCTGAACTGGTGCAGTCCCTGCTGTTCACTGTGGACCTGCTGCACATACCCGCGGCCTTTCCTTCTGCGCTTTCTCTCCGATCGTCAGTGTTTCTGTGCAAAATATTGTCGCAGTTAAAAGTTATCTAGAAACTCTCAGATTTAGTTATGCCACGCCACACCACTACTCCACTGTGTTGAGGTTGGCAGCTAGATTTTTAAAGTTATCCTTGTGCAATGTGATCTTTTAGAATCGCCCGCTTTCTCGTTTCTGCAACGCGTGCATTTAGCTCGATATTGACCCAGTTTGGATATTTTTTCGTAGTTAAGCGACCCTCGCAGAATGTCACCTTTTGCCGTCTATTTAACTGAGCGTAATGTAATTGGGTTTTATTGAAAAATTCACTTATCTTCAAAGTGTGGATGATTTGGCTGGCAAAAGGATATATTTGCACTCAATCCCTATTGATCCTGAAGTGATGGTAGGTTCTTGAGCCTCCAGTTCAGGTGCTGAGGGTGCAGGTCTTGGTCAGGGAGTTCCAGATTTCGCCATAAAATGAGAAAATGCTGTGAACATCCAGCAGGTAAGTGCGTCCTCTATGGGGAGAAGAGGAAGTTCATGTCAGTGACCTTTCAACACAAGCCTCTGCGGCTGATATTCCTGGGTCAGTCCACACTTTGGCCCAGTGCCCTCAATGTCTCCATCAGCCCCTCTACTGACCACCTCCTCACTCATCATGACCTCATGCCCCACTTCAACTTGAGGTCAACACCTGATTCGATATCTCTTCCGTTGCAAATATCTTGCCCTTCAACATAATGGAGGGGCCGGCTTTAAAATTACTGAACCTCCATGGATTTGCCACATTGTCCTTCCATGTGCTGGATGCAGCAGTTGGGAATTACTGTAAAAAAGGACACAAATATATTGAGTCAGACTATCACATATTATCAGTGACTTGTTTTGAGCTCAGAAGCAAACAGGTATGGGACCTCATTTGAAGTCATATAGTGTGGCCCTTGCCTGTATCAGCCATTAGACTGGGCCCAGGGTGTCTGAGTTGAACATTGGGTATAGGGACTGATTCGTGAGTGTCAGCCCATTCCATCACTTGCATGGCAGAATAGCACTAGTTTGATTTAATGCAATGTCTTTTTCCTTCCAGCGGACTCTCTTTACTGCCATCTGGTCATTTCTTTTTTGACCTTTGCTTTTTCCACACTCTCTTTGACTGCATATCTCCAGGCACTCTATTCAACAGTGAGGACTTCACTTGCATTTGCTCCAGTCCTGATCAACTTCTGATCTTGCTTTCAGACATCCTCCTGTTGAAGACATGGATGACCTGTTCATCTCACGTGCCTTAGAGCATGTCTTGGGGAATACTGCTGTCATCCATTAAGCTCACATGATCCAGTCAATGGAGTTGCACTGACTCCAGTGGGCAAACATGCCGGCATTCCTTGTATACAGTATTCCCTGTATACTTTCATATCCAGCTCTCTGTCTGAAGCAATGCAGGTGACATTGTTCATCCCCTTCTCTTGCATTTGTTGTTTGTGCTTCACTGCTGTAAGGAGTGTGTTGAGGGTACAAGCCTAACACATATGGACCATTGCATTTTCAGTTAGTTTAGTGTTGTGACCTCTCAACTTTGACATGAAAGCTGTTGTCTTGGCAATCCTGGCACTGGTTTCAGGATCATTGTTGATCCAAAGTATGTGTAGCTGGCAATAACTGCCATGGGGAGGTTGCCCATGTTGCTGGAAGGTGGAGTCTCTGAGAGCAGCTCGATTTTGTTTGCTGGGGCCTTGCGTGTGCTTTATGGGGGTTCTCCTTATGGTTGCAGTAATTGGCAAATTTTCAGTTGAAAATGCCTCGCAGCGGTCAGCATCCCTCTGATTTGTTTTTCTGTAGGTGGTGGGTTAAAGACAGTATTGCACCAATGATCCCATTTTGACGTAGCACTCTAGCCTTGGACATTCCTGACCAATCCAGGACGTTGAGGAACTACTGGGTCTTTCCTGACACACTGCTATGGCAACGGTTGATCTGAAGATGACCTTTCTTCTTAGATTGGTATGGTTTTCTCAGCTGAAGCTTGACATGAAGTGACATACCAGAAAATGGTCATGTCAGTCAGTACCGTTACAGCAATGAGTGATGTGGACGCTTCTAGGGCTGCATTGGTCAGTGTTTAGAACTGCTGCCTCACTGTGCCAGGGTCCCGGATTTATTTCCAGCCTCAGGTGAGCGTGTGTGTGCAGTTTGCACGTTCTCTCTGTCTGTGTGGGTTTCGTTTGGGTGCTCCATTTTCCTCCCACAGTTCCCAAAGATGTGTAGATTACGTGGAATAGCCATGCAACATTGCCTGTGGTGTCCTGGATGTGTAGGTTAGGTGGGTTAGCCATGATACATTGTCTGTAGTGTCCTGGATGTGTAGGTTAGGTGGTTTAGCCATGGTAAGTGCAGCATTACAGGAACAGGGAAGGAGTCTGGTTCTGGGTGTGATGCTCTTCAGAGGTTTGGTGCAGACTTAATGGCGTTTATCCACACTGTAGGGAATCTATGATTTTATGATGAGGCCGTTGTTGAGGGTGTTATTTCTGAACTCGGGAACTCTGCATTTTTTTTTGCATTTCGACACACACTAAGGGGTGCAACTGTTTTCTTCAGTCATACAAGGTTCATACTGGATTTGAATCGTTACCTCTGTTTCTCTCTCCGTAGATCGTGGCAGACATGTTGAGTTTCTCCAGGATTTTCTGTCTTTGTTTCAGATCTCCAGCATTCATAAGCTTTTGTCGAATCAAAAACCCAACTTCTTTTTTACCCCTTCCTAATACCGTCCTCCTTTCGCCACACGTTTTTTTTTAAAACTGTGCCCTTGTGAAACACTTGGAGGCCTTTTCCTATTCAAAAGGAGCAATAAAGTTGCCTTATTTATAATTTTGTTTTGATTGATTGATTTTATTGTCACATTACCGAATTATAGTGAAAAGCTTTGTTCACAAACAGTACTGGCAGATCACAGCAAGCAAAGGATGTACAGATCAAAAAGACTTAGAGGCAGACAAGTTACATTGCAGGTTACATTATTTGAGGCTAAAGGCCATTCAGTAGTCTGATAATGGCTGGAAAGAAGCTGTTCCTGAACCTGTATGTGCGTGTGTTCAGACTTCTGTATCTTCTGCCTGACGGAGGAGGTTGTAGGAAATCATTACCAGGGTGCGATGGGTCTTTGATGATGATGGCTACCTTTCCGTGGCAGTGAGCGTGTAAATACAGTCCGTGGATGGAAGTTTGGCTTCCGTGATGATTTGGGCTGTGCACACCACCTTCTGTAGTTTCTTATGGTCCTGGGCAGAGCAGTTGCCGTACCAGGCCATTATGCACCTGGACAGTATGCTTTCAATGGTGCATCTGGAGAAGTTGGTGAGGGACCTTCTGGACATGTCAAATTTCCTGAGCTGCCTAAGGAAGAAGAGGCATTGTTGTGCCTTCCTGACTGTCGCATTTACGTGGGAGGTCCAGGACAGGTCGTCGATTATGTCACTCCGAGGAACTCGGAGCCTTTCACCCTCTCAACGTCAGGTCTGGCAATGCCTGAATTGTAAACTGATGCCAAAAGCATTCTCTCACTCCTACACAATTCTCTGACTTAAAGTCATAGAGTTGTACAGCACGGAAACAGACCCTTCAGTCCAACTCGTCCATGCCAACCAGATATCCTAAATTAATCTAATCCCATATACCAATATTTGGCCCATATCCCTCTAAACCCTTTCTATTCGTATATCCATCCAGATGCCTTTTAAATGTTGTAATTGTACCATCCTCCAGCCTTTGCAGCCTCTCAAACTTGCATTATACAGAAATGATCGTTAAAGCCTTTCAATAAATATTTTTCATGAACAATGGCAACATTGCCCAGAGATCAGAATGCTATCCTGTTGTGGTGTCCTGCACTCTATCCTGCTTTAAGTTTGGAAGACGATGACTGCTTTACCGAATGCCATTACTAAGCCAACATCTCTTCACTAATATAAAAGCAAAAACACTGTTGATGCTGAATATCAGAAATAAAACCGGAAAATGCTGGAAATATTCCATAGTCAGACAGCATTCATGGAGAGAGAAACAGTTAATGTTTGTCATTGATGACCTTTCAACAGAACTGGAAAATGTTATTGGTTTTAAGAAAATGAAAGGAGGGAGGTTGGGCAAAAAACAGAATGGAAGGTCTGTGTTAAGTGGGATTAATTGACAAAGGGGTCAGTAGAGAAAGGCCAAAGGAAGTAGAATGGACCAAGTAAATAAACTAAAGATGTATGAATGGTATGTTATGAGCAGTTGCTACCTGGGAACAAGGAAGAGAAACTCAAGGCAGTATGATTAAAAGCTGCAAAGAGAATGGAAACAAAATGAGACCAGAGGTTCTAGCCTGAAATGGTTGAGTTCAATGTTGTCTGGAAGACTGTGAAGTGCATAATTGAAAGGTGCCTTGAGTTTCACTGGATATCTGCAAGAGGCTGAGGACAGGGATGTCAGGTGAGAAAAAGGTGAAGAATTATACTGGCAGGCCACAGAAGCTCCGGGTTGTGTTTACAAACTGAGTGGAGTTTTCACAGAGCGGTTGCCAAGTCTGTGTTTAGTCTTTCCGGTGTAGAGGAGACAGCACGATGTTTAAGTCGACTAGTTTGACAGAAATGCAAAAAAATGATTTTTTACTTGAAAGTAGTACTTGGAATGTTGGAAAATGAGGAGGTGAAAGGGCAGGTGTTGCATCTCCTGCACTTGCACAGGTAGCACCTGCTGAGTGTTTCCAGTATCGTCTGATTTTATTCCAGCTTTTCTCGTTTTCTCCTCACAGTAATTACTGGGCTGTTGACATTAACCATCTTTCAGTTCATGGTTTACTATTTGTGCTGTTCCTTAGCTTGCTGTAAACACAGCTCCTAAATATTGCTCTGAAAGTTTTGTTTTATGAGTTCACATTAACAAGATGGTGCTGTATGGTAAGTTGTAATAGCACTAGGTCACCAACGTAGTCACCTGTATGCTTATTTGCACAGCGTGTTGTTTCTAGAAGGAACATGTGAATTATCATTCAATTAGAATATAGTCACTAACTCAGTAGGTAACTGTCATAAGTCATCAAAATCCTAGCAAGCAACAAAAAAAATCAGAGCTGGAAAACGCGTTGCCTTGAACTCCACAGTAAATATTAATGGACACCCGGAAGCAATTTTTATGTCTAATCTACAGTGAGAGTTCAGGTAACAAGCAATCAGCTTCAGTGGCCATATTATTGCTAGTATAGGTGTTATATAGAACATACACATTATATAGTTCCTCAATTAGCTATCATGTACGAGTTCAAGTTGGAAATTGGTGCAAAGTCTTAGATTTTTCTGATATTATTTTTCAACAAAATAGACACACTGTCTATGCCTATATGATGAGAAGCCTTTTTAAAGTAGTTATTTTAGGTGCTCGTGTTTCCTCTCCTTTGTGTATGTCTGTTTCTGTCCTATAAGTGGCAGTGTGGTACTGCTGATCAGGGCAGGGCAGACAGACTTCAACTGTGAACACGTGTGGGGATGGATTTACAGCGAGAGCCCCGGGGAGGCAGTTCAGTTGCCAGCACCGCACATTGAAGCAGAGGGAGTCAGTGCCATGATGCAACAGCCTTGGCTCGATCACAGCATCTGCAAAGCCAGCCCTTCTCTTAGATCCACGCAGTGTGTTGTTGCTATGGTAACATCTCATCATTTCAGATGCTCGTCAGAAGGCAAGCTGGTGCTCATCTTAAAATAAGGACAATAATTTGGAAGCGTGAGTTTTTTTTAAAAAGAAATTTTATTTTCTGAAGTTGAGGAATTGATTCAGTAATCCAGCCAGACCTGCCTCACACGATCGCCTGTCCCAAGCAGCTGGAACAACAGAAGTGGATCTGATCCACTGACATAGAAACGTTTTAGCAATTTCTTCCTTGAACCTCACTTTTAGTGACCATCAACAAACCCACATGAAGCCTTTGTGCTCCCTATGAATATATCTAGCCCTATGTTAATATTAGGTTATTAGGTGTAAAGCAATCTTCACTGTACATCTAGAAGCCACAAATACCCCTTTCATGTTCAGTTGTTACAGACTGTCTTAGACGAATGTCCCACGGTGCCTTGTAAAACTGGAAGGAACTGTTTATGGTTTCATCAAAATTATTTCTGATCAATTTTTAAAATGTTTTAACTTAAAAATTTTTTTTTGTTTGTTGCCAACTTCTGAAAACTTTATATTTTCTATGTTTATCTATCCAATCAGATAGATTTTTCAAAAAAAATTACAGCATTTCCAAAAGGTGACCTGCCTTTAAGAAGTATGTGTTGGCTGGCTCTGATTAATCAAAGCATATTCAGTAATTTTATCTCAATTTACAGATTCCAAGAGTGCCTCCTCATCTAACATTTAACTAGCTAGCCTACTTTGCCAGTTAATCATTGTCTCCCTTTTCAAACGAAAATGTTACTTTGGCTACCTTCCAGGCTCATGGAAGAATTTGCACATTTGAGGACAATTGACATAATTGGTCTGAGCCTCTCTTGTCTCCTCTTGGACAACTTTCAGTTGTGTAAAATGCAAACCATTAAGGTCCAATGACTTACACAGCTTGAGCTGTGCTCACTAACTTCCAGTATAAACTAGTTCCAGTTTTCACTTGGCTTAGTGAGTCAGTCTTACCTCTGAGTAAAAAGTCAAAGGTTTAAGACCGGGGATAGTAGGAACTACAGATGCTGGAGAATCTGAGATAGCAGGGTGTAGAGCTGAATGAGCACAGCAGGCCAAGCAGGAAGGCTGACGTTTCGGGCCTAGACGCTTCTTAGGCCCAAAACATCAGCCTTGCTGCTCCTCTGATGCTGCTTGGCCTGCTGTGTTCATCCAGCTCTACACCCTATTATCAAACATTTAAGACCCACTGTTTGCAGTTCTATCATTGCTGTATGTGAGATCATTTTTGTGTATGGTATGTACATGGTAATTTCTGCATTTGCCTACATTACATTAATCAAAAGTAATTTTACTATGAAGCACATTGATATGTCCTTAGGACATAACTTATGCAAGTTTGTTTTTTCAGTTCCCTGTAACGTGTCACATACTATCTAATGCACTTACATCTTCATTTTCTTGCTCATTTGTGAAAGCTGATGTAAAATATTTACCTAATATTCTTTCATCCTCCTAAATGAAAATCTACTTCACCCCTAAGCGGCAACTTTCCCTCTGATAATTCTTAAGTGCCTATGCAAATCATTTTATTCCTTTTTGTTCAGTGCCAGTCTTCTTAAATATTGTCTTATAGTCCATTTTATTGCAGCATTGTATTTTGTTTCCTCAAGGTTTTCCACTTACCAAACCTAAGTTTCTACTTAGTTCTTACTCTGCTTTAAAAGTCTTTTAGGAATGCATTTTATTTTATGTTCTTGTTTGATTTCTGTTCTGTCTGTCCTATATTCCAAGGTTTCTAACTGCTGTTCCTTCAATCTGTCTGTTCACCTTCTTATCAAATAACTTTGGAGATGGTACCATTGGTCTTTGCACTTTTCCTATATAACACTGTCCTTGGTGACTGATCATTCTTTTTGTTTTTTACACTGAGCCCAACTATCTTATGGTCACTATTTCCCAAATTATTGTCCTCCCCTTGTAATTATTTGCCCCCTTTTACTTCTCAGAATTAAATCAAGTCACACATTGTTTTCTGAGCAGGACTGGAAATATACTGATCCAGGAGACAGTACTAAATGCATTCACTCTGACCACATACCATCATATTGACAACATTTCGGGTCCAGTGACCCATCTTCAGAATTGTAGGAGGTTCAGGAGAAGGGTCGCCAGACCCAAAACATTAACTCTGCTTTCACTCTCTCCATAGATGCTGCCAGAACTGCTGAGTTTTTTCAACCATTTCTTCTTCTGTTTCTGATTTCCAGCATCTGCAGTTCTTTTGGTTTTTTGACATTGTACTGTGTTGGAATTGTTGAAACCATCATTCCTATTGCCTCACTGTTCTTGTGTAATTCCTCTGAACTTTTGATTTTATTCACTCGTGGGATGTGGGCATTGCTGACTGGCCAGTATTTATGACCATCCCTAGTTGCTCTTGAGAAGGTGGTAGTGAGCTGCCTTTTTGAACAGCTACAGTCCTCCTGCTGTGGGTTGACCCACAATGTCATTAGGGAGGGAATTCCAGGACTTTGACCCAGTGGCAGTGAAGGAATAGTGATATATTTCCAAGTCAGGATGGTGAGTAGTTTGGAGGGGAACTTGCAGGTGGTGGTATTCCCATGTCTCTGCTGTCTTATTACTTCTGGATGGAAGTAGTCATGGGTTTGGAAGGTTCTGTCTGATGATCTTTGGTGAATTTCTGCAGTGCATCTTGTAGATAGTACACACTGCTGCTACTGAGCGTCGGTGGTAGAAGGAATGGATGGTTGTGGATGTAGTGCCAATCAGGCGGGCTGCTTTGTCCTGGATGGTGTCAAGCTTCTTGAGTGTTGTTGGGACTGCACCCATCCAGGCAAGTGGGGAGTATTCCATCACACTCCTGACTTGTGCCTTGTAGAAGGTGGACAGGTTTTGTTAAGTCAGGAGGTGAGTTACTCGCCACGGTATTCCTAGCCGCTGACCTGCTCTTGTAGCCATCATATTTATGTGGCAAGTCCAGTTGAGTTTCTGGTCAATAGTAAACCCCCATGATGTAGATGGTGGGGGATTCAGTGATGGTAACACCATAGAATGTCAAGGGGCAATGTTTAGATTCTCTTATTGGAGATAACATTCGCGCTACGCAAATGCTACTTGCCACTTGTCAACCCATGCCTGGATATTGTTCAGATCTTGTTGCCTTTGAACATGGACTTCTTCAGTATCTGAGAAGTCATAGATGGTGCTGAACGTTGTGCAACCATAAGCATCCCTACTTCTGACCTTATAACGGAGAGAAGGTCATTGATGAAATAGCTGAAGATGGTTGGCCCAGGACACCAACCTGAGGAACTCTTGCAGAGATGTCCTTGAGCTGAGATACCTGACCTCCAACCACCATGACCATCTTCCTGTATGCCAGGTATAACTCCAACCACCAATGAGTTTGCCCCCTGATACCTATTGCTTCCAGTTTTGCTAGTGCTTCTTGATGCCACACTTGGTTGAATGCAGCCTTGATGTCAAGGGCTGTCATTCTCACCTCACATTTGGAATTCAGCTACTTTGTCTCTGTTTGAACGAAGGCTGTAAAAAACGGTTAGGAACTGAGTGACCCTGGCAGAACCCAGACTGGGCAGTAGTGAGCACTATCCATAATTTCATAGGCTCCCTACCTGTTGCTTAACTTTATCGGTATAGATTGATTTAATATTAACCCCCTCAGGGTATCTTTACATTTTGGGGGGAAAAAGACTTGTATTTATGGACTTGCACCTTTCAAAACTCAAGAGTTTTCAAGCCAGTTAAGTATTTTAAAAATGTAATAATGTTGTAATGCAAGAAATATAGAAGCCAATTTGCAATCAGCAAACTCCCACTAACAGCATTGTAAAAATGTTCAGAAAAGTTTGTTTCTGTGACATTGATTAAAAGGTAAAAATTGACCAAGACACCAGGGATAACATCCTTCTGCTTTTTTAAATATTGCCATAGGGTCTTTTACATTCAGCTGAACTTATGGAAAATTTTACAGTTTATCCAAAACCCAGTAACTCCGACAGAGCTACATGTCCCTATTTTCATGTTGCATTTTGTTTTGTAGGCAGCATGAACAGCTTGATTTCTCCAGCACGCGTTCTGAAGAGCTTAAGCACCTGTAGGATCTTTTGGATAAAGTATGCATCACCTGAGCTGCATGAAGCATGGAATGTGAGAGCAGCCCAAAGGAATTTCTGTCTGAAATTCGACACTGTTGAGCCAAAATCTAAAAGACTCTGTGAGCTGCCAGCACTGCAGCAAAAAGCTCTGCTTGTAGGTGTAAGATACAAAAGTAACAAAAGCTCAAAGAAGGCCAGAAGGCGGATGTTACAAGAGGAGTCGGATGAAGAAGAGGATGATCCCGAGAAAAGTGACTATGAGGACGAATCGGAGGAGGAAGATGATGACACCCAGCCGAAAGCTTACAAAGACCTTGAGAAAATAGTACCATCTTTCAGATTCGACCTCATCATGAAAGCTGGTCTGGATATAGCGAGGAAGTAAGTGGCCTGTCTTTAGGAGGTAAAACCATGTCTGTGCCATTTTGGTATTTCAGCAGCAGGTCTTGCTGATAATGTCTGATACAACAAACAATCGCTCAATGTCGTAGAGCTGTCATACAGATTATTAACCAATTTTACAAAAGTCAGCTCTGGTGCATTCCTCATCCCAAAATTGCAAGATTAGTTCAGTTGAGTTTTGAACTGGTTGGTGAGGATATACCCTTGATGGTAATTGTGAAGAGTTAGCCTCGTTTTGTGAAAGGGAAATCATGTTTAATCAATATATTGAATTTCCTTGAAGGAGTAGGGGCGGCACAGTGGCTCAGTGGTTAGCACTGCTGCTTCACAGCACCAGGGACCCAGGTTCGATTCCACCCTTGGGCGACTGTCTGTGTGGAGTTTGCACGTTCTCCCCGTGTCTGCGTGGGTTTCCTCTGGGTGCTCCAGTTTCCTCCCATAGTCCAAAGATGTGCAGGTTAGGTGGATTGGCCATGGGAAATGCAGGGTTATAGGGGTAGGTCTGGGTGGGATGTTCTTTGGTGGGGGGGAGGTTGGTGCAAACTCAATGGGCCAAATGGCTTCTGTCTGCACTGTGAAGATTCTGTGATTCTATAACTCTTTGGGGTAAAGGTAAGAAGTGGGATGGGAAAGTGCTACAGATTTTGCTGTCCATTACGTACAGCTTACTGGCCGTATCTACTTATCATTTTTAGACCCTTTCTATCCTCCTGTTCTGGGTGACATAGTTGATAACTGCAGAATCTGCTGATCAGACAGTGCAGGCTTATACTGTGACAGCTAACATATTACCATTTCCGTATTAGCATTCTGTATAGATGTTATCTTTGGGTTCACAGATACATCTGGTGAAATTAACTTGTACCTGCTAAACCAAGTTTGCGTCCTTTTCAAAATTAGGTTCAATCAGCTTTCACGTTGCTCACAACCACACTGGGCTGGGCTTTCATTTGCAGTGGGGTCCTGTAGCTGAATGTTTTACCAGCCAGCACACTCCTTAACACCAGTTTGTGGTTTGCTTTACAGCAAAGTGGAAGATTCCTTTTATAGTAACAAGCTGAGACTGAATGGAGAGAAGTTACTGAAGAAAAGTAAAGTGGTACGTTTTACGTTTTCACCTCAATTTATTTCAAACGCACTCAACGTAACTATCTCAACGCCAAACACCACTGTATAACTTTAGTTGATGGGAGAGGTGTTACCTCATCCTTTGTGACATCTGTCTCTCTTGTCAATCAAAAATCACATTTGCAATCCCTCACTGCCCCATCCGAAATGAATGACCGATGTTTGTCGGGCTTTACAGTAGGAGATACACCACAGCCTTCATTCGGAGCCGTGGGAATTGAGTTCCTGTTTTAATTGTTCGGTCGTGATTTTTGAGGTCAGTTCAGGTTGAAGATTCGAATGATCGTTTGCCAACACTGAGCAGGCAGGAGGTAAGGACGCTGGGCCTCTCTGTGATGTTTGAAAACTCACTTGGAAGCGGTAGGGTTGTGGGGGAAGTGGGGAATATGCTTTTGTTACAATGGGCAACACATTGCCTCATGGCTTTGTAATTCTACAGAACTGTTTTTATTTAAGCAAAAATGTCATTAGACAGCAAAACTGGCTAATAGAACAGTTCCACATGAGACCAAAACATGACAGTGAAGCAATTTGCCTAATTCCTGATTATGGGCAATGTGGGTGGGTAGTTATCATTATTAACCTCCATAGAGATTGAAACCATCTGCCTGGTGATAAGATTAGCCTGTAGCTCTCGGTGAGCACTCCCAGCTGTTGTCAGTTTGCTCCCTTGGTTGTATAACAGGAAAGGAACATTTTTTAAAAGCACTACTCCTGTAGGCCGCCAATCAGCAAGATCCGGTGGAGAAATAGAGAGAGTTCCTCATTGAGAACTAACACCCTCCTGTTCAGGATGCAACATTTGTCAGGCCTGCAACATGCTCCCCTGCCCCTCCCAGCAACTTGTGCCTCCTTTGCTTGCTGTGGGAATAAAATTAGCGATTTTTTTTTTAACTTTCATTTTGGAAATATTTCAGGCAAATATTTCCTACTTCTCAGGTCATTCACAGGTGGAAATTTAAAATGACAGGAAAGAACCAACTTGGTGAAAATCTAAACTAAAGTCAGCCAAATGCTTGAAATATAAAGGTAAAGTTGCCATAGTACTAGCTGACCATAGGGCTGCTGTCTCATCACAGAGAGAGGGAGAGGTGACTGGTGGTCGTTTAACCCAAGGGTCATCACACCTCAGACAAGGGTAAGGATGAGGATTGAACATACACTGTTGGCATCACTCTGCATCATAAACCAGTCATCCAGCCAACTGATCTTACCAACCCTGGATTGCCAGCATCTATAAAAGTGTCAACTGGAGGTCTTTATTCAATAAAATAAATTCCAAAGAGAGTGCAGACAATAATACTAGTCAGTTATGGCTCTCAATTCTGAGTCAGATGACTGTAGGAACAAGTTCCATACCAGGACCCGGGCACAATAGGTTAACCCACAATGTGGTTAGCGAGGGAGTTCCAGGATATTGACCCAGTGACACTGAGGAAATGGCGATATATTTCCAGGTCCAAATGGTGAGTGGCTTGGAGGAGATGTTGTATATGGTGATGTTCCCATTGTTCCACTGCCCTTACCCTCCTTGGGGTTTTGGAAAGTGCCATGTAAGAAGACGCAGTACACCTGAGCATTGGTGATGGAGGGAGTTGATGTTTGTGGATCTGATGCCAGTCAAGCGGGTTGCTTTATCTTGGATGATATCAAGCTTCTTGAGTGTTGTTGGGGCTGCACTCATCCAGGCAAGTGCAGGATATTCCGTCATACACCTGAGTTACTCGCTGCAGAATTCCCAGCCTTTGGCTTGTTGTACAGCCACATTATTTATATAAAGCTGATCCAGATCAGTTCCTGGTCTCTGTTTACATGCCAGTTTGTAGTTTAATGCGTCACAATTGAGGAGTAAACCTGAAAGGAATTAAACAAAATTTATGGCAAAACTTCCTAAAGAAAATTAAGCTGATTTCAGCAGGAAATAGTATCAACCAATGTTCCCTGATATTTTTTAAGCTGTTGCATGACCTGCCTATGACCCATAAAATTCTAACTGGACTAGACAGGATCAATGCAGGAAGGATCTTTCTGATAACCAGGGAATGCAGAATCAGGGGTCACAGTGTAAGGATGTCTGGTTGGTCATCTAGGACTGAGATGAGGAGAAATTTCTTCACCCGGAGAGTGGTGTGTGTGTGGGATTCTGTGCCACAGAAAGTGGTTGAAGTCAAAACGTTGAATGTTTTCAAGAAGGAGGTTAGACATGGTTTTTAGGGCTAAATGCATCAAAGCGTAAGGGTGAACGAAGGTGGAAAGAGGCTGCTGAGTTGGATGATCAGCCATGTTTGCAGGAAACAGTGGAACAGGCTTGAAGGGCTGAATGGCCTACAGCTGTTTCTGTTTTTTTAATGTATGTGAGGCTCATGCTCAGTGGTGTCCTGCACAAGCAGAACCCATCCATCGGGACCTTGATCAAGATGTGCAGAGCTTTCCACCTTCTGTGCTTCAATAGAACATCAACAGGAGTTTAAATTTCCTCTCAACCCTCTGGTTAATTTGCGAGACAATGGGAGATATGATGCAGAACTTCAAGCTTCTTGCCTCCCAGTTGAAAGCATTGGATTTCCCATGGTTTCCAAGCAGCCCAATTGATTTCAGGTTCTGAACGATTATTTGTTTTCTTTTCTTTGTGTTGGCAGGTGAAAGAGGGTGATGTTCTGGATCATCTGATTGGGGAGGATAAGGAAGCTGAAACAGTCACTGTCATGAGGGTGATGGTTCGGAAGATTGCTGAGGAAACGACAAATACAGAGAAACACCGAGTGATCTTGAGACGCTGGAAAAACCTGCAGCTGCCCAGAGCAGAAGTATTTAAATAAGATTCCACTGTCCGGCTAGAGGAGGGCTCTCTGTAGCCTGACTGGGAAATGAGATGCTGTCACTGACGAAACACAAGGCTCCAACAAAACAGCTAATAATGTGGCGGCTTTTCCTGCTGTTTCCCAGGATAACATGGGATATTGATAATTATTTGCATTTATGTCATGTTCGTCACACGATGATCATTTCTAAACGTTTCACAATGGGACACATCGACAGCACACAGCAAAGGAAGGAATTCAGAGCGCTGCTAGAGAGCTGAAGGAGAAACCAGAGAGGTTATTTTTCGGAAAGGCTTTTCAAAGATCGCAAAAGAGGTTTCGGAAGAGAATTCCAGCAATCAAGCGACCGGAAAAATCAGTCTGATGTGACGGTAGGAAGGGAACGTAGGACAAAAACAGTAATCTGGAGCCTGAAAGAGCTGGGGTGGGATTAGGTCAGGGGAAAGGTAAGGTCAGTCAGATGGAACAAGGCTTTAGCACTATTTGTAGATCTGAGCCAAGATCCTGAAAGCCCGTTGAGCTTGGAGGGGACCAGGGGATGACAATTGTGCTGCACTTTTGGCGGGAACGTGAACTACTGAATCTTCAATTTATTCAGATTTGTGTCAGTAGAGGGGCAGGTGAGAAGCACGAACAATTGAGAGTGCAGAAACAGGCTATTCAGCCCATCAGGTCCGTGCTAGTGCCCACCCTAAAACAGCAAACATTTTGTTAACTGGCAGCTATGGGACCAGGAGTGTGCCATTTAATGAAGAAGTTCACATGATCAATGTAAAAACACACACTAAGTAATAGAAACATGTTCTGGGGAGTATACGTGTCACTGTTATACTTTATTTACAGCATAAATCACTTAAATAATAATGCAACTCCACCTTAAATAAAACTTGCTGGCAGAGAGCCTTCTTACTCACACCCTCAACTGAGTGCTTGGACATTGCGGAGATTGTGAAAATACAGGAAACTCAGCAGTATTTAAGGTATATAATTTTTGCCGGCTAATTGAGAGTGCTGGTTCATGAGAGTGCTGGTTCATAAGGTGCTGGTCAAAACAAAGTTTGCTGTATATTTTAATTTCGCCGTCTATCAGGCATCGTCCCTTTTAAAAGTATTTATGGATTCTGTTTTCACCATTTTCTTGCAGAAAATTCCGAATGCTAGCCACCCGCTGTGTGAAAAAAGGATATTTCAGGGCATTCACTTTAGTCCTTTTGTCAACATTATAAATTTGTGAGCTTCATCCCCAGCTCTATTTCCCTCTTATAATATTTTTATCACTGTTTTATCCTACGTGAAGATTCCTATCAGATTGCTCCACAGTCTCCATACTCTTGTGAAATCCAACCCTAACCTCTTGCACCTCTCTTTGTAACTCTGATCCCTGGTGATGAACCACAATGATCTTTAACGTGATAAAGCGATGGGATATTGGTAGTGGTCAGGAGAGTTGGGCTTCTTCTACTGCACCGAACATCTGACCTAGCCCCACCATGCAGTATTACTGCAGTTTACACATTATCAACCTCTAGAAAACTTTTTGACCTACAGGAGACAGCCACAGTGCATTGGCAGTTATTTCAATACATTTCTATTAAGTTGACGAATGCCTGGGCTAAACTAACAGGAAAATGTTGTAGGAGTTTTCAGCTGCAGTCATTTCTCGACCATTCGATACTGTGTTGTCTGTCAGTGATGCGACTGTCAGCTCCTGCCTGCTGATACTGTCCACTAGTTGGAACACGGACAAGAGCAGTAGGGGGCGGTTTCTCCCAGAGAGCTTGTCTCCTGTGCTATAGGCCAGAAGCTAGCTTTCAGTCAGTCAGCCAGCAGCTCTCCAAGGCAACATGGACAGGCACTGTGCTGTGTCGGGAGGCCTGGATGCCTGACATTCTAGGCTACAGTGCACTGAAGGTCTGTGCCCTAGTTTAGCATTTTACAGGCACTCATTGTACTGATAAAAGCAAGTGTACTTTGTGCCATAATTATTAACTTTTTTGTTAACTGCAGGACTTCTACTGAAGTCAACTGAATTCAGTTCTTCAGTTGAAAGCATTCCTCGGGCTCTAATTAGAATGATCTATGTCAGCTAGTATAGCAAGGATTTGAATTTCCATCCCAAACTCCCCTGGGAAGCCTAGCTAATCCTTCGGAGACCACAGTGCAACTGAGTTCCAGTTAGTCTCTCCTGATTTAGTCTTGATGTTTCAGGCACTGTTTGATTTCCCCTTGGTTCATATTGTTAAATACCGGATAGCAGGCATTGATTGCAGGGCAGCACTCTAACATGTGACATGGAGGCAGTGTCATAATCTTCAGCAGTACTGAGTCTATAATCTCATGGTGGGCTTCAAGTAACTAAACAAACGAGGATAAATCTTTAGGGTTTTAGTACCTTTCCTGGAACTCTGATGTTACAGCATTGAAATTACTTTGGTATCACTCAAAACATGTACCCATTCCTTCCCCATCATGTTTGGTGGCTTCTGGCACAATGGTAAATACATTTAAGCGAGTTTCTTGCACTGCATCTTGTGCAAGTTTCTTGCCGACAAAGCATTTAAACTAATTTAGTTGCCTGCAGAAACTCATCAACAAGACCGTACCTGAAGACAGAATTCAGTGGTCCTTGACATTCTGGGAGCTAGAGACCGTGTGAGGAACAGTTTCACCTGATAGTGGGTCAGAAAGTGATCCAGGATACCAGATCTCTGCTGCTGTAGGATTCTGCCATGTTTTCAACCCAAGACGGAAATTCCAGGCAGGGTGCCATGCACTTTAAGAATATTTGACTCTCTTTTCTTTCAGCCATTTGCAAATGAGAAATTCCAAAAAACGACTTTATTGCACAGGAATCAAAATATCTGTTTCTACCCTCTACTGTACCTTTGAAATAACACTTAAAAAAAACTTAATAAGTCCTGTAATTCACCCAAGTGTAGATTTCAGTAATAAAGAGCAATTGCACCTTGTTGCCATAAAGTGCCAGGCACCTGCAGGATAATTCATTGTGCTGTGGACCTGATAAGATGTCATATCCTCCTGATCAAGGATTATGGAGCAAACGTGGGTAAATGGATCTCAGATACAGGTTAAATGTGATCTGATAGAATCAGCTTGGAGGGCTGAATGGCATTCTTCTGTAATCTATATATGATCTGTGATACGTAAAAGTCTAGTGCACCTCTGGCAAACTCCAGACACCATGCTTTGTTTCTTCATGAAGCCTTTATTTTTAAAACAACAAAAAGCTAATCAATCTGGAGCCTAAAGATAACCAGTACTTCTAACTGTTCTCAACAGATTTTTCAATCTTCCCCGTTAAGAGCAGTAACTTTAAAAAAGCTGCAGAACTCCTGCGATCAATGATATGTTATGGGCTGTATTTTCTTGATACACAGGAGTTGGTTATATAGTGAGATATTACATTTAGCTAATTATTATTACAACTGCAAACAGTGCAGTGCTAACAAAGTGTAACATACAATAGTGAACACAGTATCAAGGTATTATGGTACCTTACTTCTGTATGTTATTATGGAAATAAATATTTTTTTAAACCTATTCTTTATTAATTTAAATAAGCAAATCTTATTACTGAACTGAAATCTCTGGGCCTTACTGAGTTTTCATGAATTGTCTGATAGCCGGATCTGTTCATGAGTATTCGTGTTGAAAGCCACCAAGACATGGATCCCAGCATAAATGGCAGAATTATTTACTGATGTCCTCTGAGGCAGAACATGCGAGACTAGGTTGAGGCTATCTCATTGTGACAACAGTAGGCATTTTATCAAAGAAGGGAGAGGAAGGAAGACTGGGAGTATTTACTTCGGAAGATGGTGCCAAAACCTCTCATGAGAATATACATTGCTATCAGTAGTTTTCACAGAATAAACACCACTGAAAGCAGTCATATCACTCAACAGGTAGTGTTCATTCTCCGCTGGAGCCTCATCTCACTTCGTCTCACCCTATCAACATATCTCTCTGTTCCATTCTCACCCATGGACTTAATTATTCACTTCAACTGCTTACACTTCATTTTGGACTCCCTCATAAGTGAAAACTTAAGCTGAAATAATCTACATTCATGCCTGAGCTTCCCCCAACTGCAGATCAATTATGCGGGCATTCCTTCACTAGTCAGACCAGCCGCCAGCGAATTCTCAGAGTACAGAGAAGAAACCCACCCCCCACCCCGAGCACCCCTTCTTGAGCTTCCAACCCCTTTCAAATGTCCCTTCACGATTTTTCATCCCTTTCTGACCAGCCCTTCCTGATCATATTCACTGGGTCCCTTGGGAAGACCAGACTCCAGTCTATCAGACAGCACCCAAATAGACGACTCACCAGTGTCACAGAAATGCTGCAGAGTTTTGGCTCCAACCTCTCACCATTTAAGAAATGTGAAAAGTGCATAACTTTACACTTACTTAATATTCTGTCTCATAGAGTTGTACAGCATGGTAATAGACCCTTCAATCCAACTTGTCTGCGATGACCAGATATCCTAAACTGATCTGATCCCATTTGCCAACATTTGGTCTATATCCCTTTAAATCTTTAGTATTCATATACACATCCAGATGCCTTTTAAATTCTGTAATAGTACCCTCCTCCACCACTTTCTCTGCCAGCTCATTTCATACATGCACTATCCTCTGCATTAAAAATTTGCCCCTTAGGTCCCTTTTAAATCTTTCCCCTCTCACCTTAAACTTATGCTTTCTAATTTTGGACTCCCCTACCCTAGGGAAAAGAATCTTGGCTATTCACCCTATCCGTGGCCCTCGTGATTTTATAAACCTCTATAACCCCTCAGCTTCTGAATTTCCAAGGAAAAATTCCCAGCCTATTCAGCCTCTCCCTATAGCTCAAACCTTCCAACCTTAGCAACATCTTTGTAAATCTTTTCTGAACCCTTTCAAGGTTAACAACATCTTTCCTACAGTAGGGAAGCCAGAACTGACTGCAGTATTCCAAAAGTGGCCTAACTCATGTCCAACTTTCTGGGTTATTCACTGAGCCTATTTGAGTTTCTTGTTCTCTGTGGACAGATAACTGAAACTTGCATGACTGGGATTGCTAGATATAAGCTGGTTAAGGCTATTACAGAGAATGAAGTTAATTATAGATTGTTCATGATCTGATAGAGTAGCAGAATAGGCTTTCGGATAAACTAGCTTATTCCTGTTCATACCGTCCTTGAAATGCGGGCTTTCCAAGTGTTTTCTCATCTGAAACCCTGCAACAGGTTGGTGCACACAGAATAGTGTGCAGTGAAATGAAAGTAATTCTCTCAGCTTGAAAAGAGGACATCTTCATAAAATGTATGTTTGTTTCACAGTCTTTTTCTCAAAAAACTTTGAAGTTTTTTTTATATTTACCTTCTATTTTATTTCAAGGACATATTAAACTGTCGTAAAGCATAAGCTGCAGCTGACAAACTCAAAGCTCTGCCAGTATGGATTCAGATATCCAGCAATCAGATGTCTAAACAGATGACAATTCTGACTGACAGTCACTGACAATGATTGAAACAGGATGGTTCTCAGTTGGCTTAACCTTTCTGGGTTTTGGCACTCTGGAGGACTGTATTTCCTGTGCCTTAAACTGGACTAAGCAAATTCCTCCTCACCCCTGTCCTAAATAACCAATTGTTATTCTGATACAATATCTTCTGGTTCTAGAGTCACCAGCCAAGGGCAGCATCTACACCCATCCTGTCATGTTTCAATACAGCCACCCCTGATACTTCAAAACTCTTGGGAATGGAGACCCAGTCTTCTCATAAAACCATCCCACTATCCCAGGGATTAATCTGGTGAATCTCCACTGCACTCCTCCTAGGGCACGTGTTATCCTTCTTTGGATAAATAGACCAAAACTGAGCGAAATACTCCAAGTGAGACCATAAGATATAGCAGTAGAATTAGGCCATTCAGCCCATTGAGTCTGCTTCACCATTCTCTACCACAGAGGGCTGTGGAAGCTCAATCATTGAGCATGATCAAGAAACCAATTAGTAGATTTTCTGGAGACTAACTACAACAAGGGTTATGGAGACTGGATGATCAACCATGATCTAATTGATTAGCAGAACAGACTCAATGGGCTGAATGGACTACTCCAATTGCTATGTTCCTATTCTCAGATTCTCCGATGCTTTCAGTTTAATGCAGAAACCTTGTGTTTCTTGTGCTAGTTTAGGATTGTTCAGCTGGAGTCGATCCTTGTTTGCTCAACCCATACAGGCATTTGTTTTCAGAGTGAGAAGACCGCGTTGTGCAGAGCTATCTCCACTGCCAGATAATACACAGCAGCCATGCTTTTTACAGGTTCCTGAAGCTGTCACAGCAACAATGAATACAGGGACTTTTCATATTCATCTTTAAATATCCATAGTAAGGTTTGCAAATAGAAAATGTCTGACAGACCTATAAACTCTAATGCTCTACTATTAAAATCTATTTATGTTGGAGGAAGAGGTTCTCTAGGTCTGGCTGGGGGTCTCGTAGAAAATAGACCATTCTTATGGGAGTCCACTCCAACTGAAAATGCTGTGCAAGCTTCTGGTAGCTGACTCAGAGTCACAATCCCGCAGTATTTCAGTGGTTGCTGAGCTTTTTTCCAATGGCTGAGGAAAGCTGGCAAAAGATGAGAACGTCCTCCTGATTATGAGTCTGCAAATTCAGCACAGGTAGCAGTAGAAACCACCCTTTTAGCAATGGATAGTCAGTGCCCCTGCCGATGTGTTTTTAAAGGGGGCAGAGGGCACATAAAGTATCGTGGGTACTAGGCCTACCATTTTCCACCCCCCACCCCACCTAGTTTGCTATGATATTATGATAAGTTGAAAGGCTGGATGGCATAATGGGAAGGTCTCCCATCATATTTAAATAAATAACTAGGGGTCAAATGAACTGGTTGATAAACCGATTGAACCTGATAAGACACTGCCCATGAGATAAGATGGTTGGCATGTGTAGGCAGGCAGGGATTCAGCAGTCTGTTTTATATTTAGAAGGCCAAGAAGAAAGTCAGGTATTACCTTCAGGGGATGCCCATTGTGAACTGGGGCAATCTCTCTGGAGATTGTAATCCCTTCGGTTCCTACTTGCCTGCTCTCCAAATACCCATCCCCTTCTTGGCTCATTGGCTGCTCACTGACTTACTTTCCAGACAGGTCTGCCCTTGGCATCTCGTGCAGTGCCAACAGCAGGAGCTGCAGCAAAATGGATGCACAACTCCTGCATTGGAGAAACTATTTCACACAAAGATTAGGAGCCTTAAGTAGCCCATTCGCCTCCTCAAGCCTGCTCTGCCATTTACTGAGATCTTAGCTGGTCTGATTTCCACCAACACCAGCTCAATATTCAGAGCTTCTTTCTCTTTCGATTCCTTTCCTCAGCTCCCACTCTTATGATTATATTGAAACCTTCAAGTGGAGTGTGATTTTTAAAAATTGACACTTTCTATGTCAGCTTTTCTTCTAGTTGTTCCTGACGTTACAGATCATCCGCTGTACTGCAAATGTCTTTTTTAAGCTTCTCGGAGTCCGTTTTGTACTTGTCTCTAAAGTGGATCCAGGGTCTCTAAACTTTACCGGTGACAAACTTTTGTTTTTGTATTGATGCGCTGGATCACTGCAGTAATCCCTTGAAATGCCGGAGCCCCAGCCTGGAATAGGATACAATGACAGATTGGGGTCGCTATGTGCCTGCTTGCAGAGGACTGCCATCTCTGGTAAGAAACAGGACCTATCTTTTGTCTCCTACTGCCCTGCCTCCACCTGTAGTCCGCTAGCAGATCCATTCCCGTGCTTTCTCAGGTTGATTCCCAAATTCAAACAATCCTTCCCCCACCTCCTCCCTCCATATTCGATTAAACTTTTTCAAAGAGTAGTTATAAAAGTTCGCAACTTTTTTTTTAACGTCCTGACAATTTTTCCCAGCTTAGCTTAAAAGCTCTTGCGTTTCAATTTCTCTTTATCAGCCTTGACTTGCTGAGTTTTCCCAGCGATTGTTTTTCTTTTGTTCTTGTTTCTTCTCCAGCATCTAGCTTTTGGATTTTTCTTCAAGGTCACTCACTGCAATACGGTGAGGATGAAGCTTTAATCGCTGCAGCACAGTTGATAACCCTCACTGCTGCAGTGCCTTGGAAAGTTGCTTTCGGCACAAGTTTGAGAAAATAAGTCCGGGGCTGTTTCCTGGGGCATTGGTGCATTGAGAGACCTTGCTGTTTGCTTTTGCTTGCCTGTCATCCCGCGCAATTTATTTTATTTATCTTGTCACTGCAGAAGGAGCAATTGAATCACTTCCTCATTCTGCCTCTAACTAGTGTACCATGACTGACTCGACAGATTATGTAATGTCAGTTTAGCTGCTGGCTGCTCTAACTGCAAGTTGCTGAAGCGCATCACTCATTTCGCACCACGCCAGCTGTGAGTTCGCAAAATGTGCTACTCTCATCGAAAATAGGACTGTTGTTTTTACAAAGAAATAACTGAAGGAAAAGGAAGGGGGCAGTGTTGAAAACATTCCGAGAGGAAAAAAAGTTGT